CCCGGGGAGCAGAGCCGCAGCCCCGGCAGCCGCCCCGGCCCCGCAGCGCTCAGGGCTGCAGCAGCCCCACGCACCAGCTGGCCTCGCCTCCAGGCACCCGCCAAGACAGGCCAGCCCAGGAGCAGACTCTTAAACCAGGCTTAATGCACGCCCTATTTATATTTAAATATCCAATGTATTTGCACTTGCACCTCGTGGCCAACGCTTGCTGCTCGTGTTCCTGTTTCGAGTTTTGCTCCCAGTAAACTTCCTTCACCCCCGTGCAAGCACCGGGCCTAACTCAGCACTGTTCCAGCTATGCATGCGAAAACAAAATCTTTGCTGACATATCTTATTGAGGAGCGATAAATTGCGTTTGGCCTGGGCACGTTCGTGCATATTGCTAGGCCAGCAATTCTTTTGTTGTAGATAAGGCCTGCGTGTGGGCCCGGCTCCAAGGCTGGGCTTCCTCAGGCCAAAGTCGCCTGTAAGTGAGTTCGGAAAATCTCGCTGGGAGAAATCAGACCCATGAAGGCTGTGCTGGAGTTTGCCAGCAGGGCTAGAGCAGCCCAACGCCGGGTTAGAGCAGCCCAACGCCGGGTTAGAGCAGCCCAACGCCGGGTTAGAGCAGCCCAACGCCGGGTTAGAGCAGCCCAACGCCGGGTTGGGGATGCTGTGTGCGCATGGGGGTGTTTTCTTATCCGGAACAGTGACTGCTGCCCAGGACCTGCACTGTCCCCTCCGCAGAGTCTGCCTGGGATGCGCTGAGAAAGGCGCTTCGTGCCTGCCCGTCGGTGGGCAGCGCGTCCCGCTTCCTTCGCGTGATTCATGTCCCTTTCCTGGAGAGAAACTGCTCGGGAACTGAGCTGTCCTTCACGTTTCAGACGTGCTTCTGGTAACTGTGACTGCAATCTCGCTGTCTCATGTAACTTTATTGATTGTTCTCCTTATTCTGCCTGTGCTGCAGATGTCCTGGCTGGACTCTTTCCAAACTGCCCAGAAGGAGAAGCCTTTCCTTTATACTTCTGGCTTTCCCGTGCTCAACAGGTCCTTTTTCCCCGGCTTTCACACTCCGTCAGCAAAGAGCACCTATTCTGCCAGGATTCAGGTAAAGCCTCCCGCCCTCACCCAAGGCTGTCTCTTGTCTCTCGTCAGGTGTGTTGGCTCACTCCCGAGCAGACAGCAGGCAAGCAGAAGCCCTTTATGTACACTCAAGGCCAGGCCGTCCTGAATAGATCCTTTTTCCCTGGCTTTGACACTCCAGCAGTTAAATGTACATATTCAGCCACAGTGAAGGTAAGCGGTACCCTGAGCAGGACATGTAGGTTCCAATTCCTACAAAAACCTCATCACRTTTGTCCTGGTTTATAATCTCTCCAAGGGACACAGGGAGAAGCTGCCAGCTCTGTTGCAGTACGCGCTGCACCTTTGGGTGCTGCTGCTTCCTTTAAAGACACTGCCCAGCCCCTTGCTCTTGTACAGAGTTATGGCTTTGTACCTGAACTGATAGTCTGCTAAAGGCCCCAAGCAAAGAAGATGCTGGGAGATGCCTGGGTTTGATTCGGTTTTTGAAGATGATCCTTTGAAGTGAAGCGGGCCAGCAGCTGGGCTCCAAGTGACGCGCGGGTGCAGCTTTGGTGGCTGGGCACGGCGGCAGAGGGGGAGCGCGGCCTGAGGGGCTCGTCTGTCCCTTGCACGGGCAGCCAGCCCGCGCTGTCGGCGGAGCTGCGCGTGGACGGTTCCTGCGTGCCTGCCGCCAGCCGGGGACACGGCTTTGGGGGTGACGGCAGGCAGGGCCGGCCTCTCTTAGGGGCACGGGCTGCTGATGTGCGAGCCTGGGTTTGCTCTGACGTCTTCCCAGCAAAGCTCCCTTCTGAAGAGCGAGCGCAGGGTTGGCTGCTCTCACACCATGTCTGTGCAGAGGAAACCTTGTTCCCTGTGACCCTGTGGGGGTCCTGCCTCCTGGAAGAGGAGAGACCAGCTTAGCTTCCCTGTCTTGTAAGGTGTAATTGAGCCCAGCTGAGAGCTCCAGGGAAACCATCACTCCTGCTCAGCCCAGGCTAGATTTTGCTTTGGCCTGGCAGCCTGGCAAAGCAAGCTTTTGTATAAGCAGTGGCAGGAGAACCAGTTCCAGGCGAATTTGCATCACTTGCCCTTTTGAGCATCTCACACCTTTGATTCCAGCCTGCGGGTGTCTTGGGAGTTGGGGACACAGCTGCAATCCAGAGTCAGCTAAAATCTCACTGCACGTTACCGACCCGATGGAGACTCTTACCTACGTTTCTAGGTCCCTGAGGGTTTCACAGCTGTGATGAGTGCCACAAGCTGGGAGAAGGAGAAGGATAACACCTTTGTCTTTAAGATGTCCCAGCCAATCCCCTCCTACCTGATCGCTCTGGCTGTTGGGGACATTGTTTCTGCTGAAGTTGGCCCAAGGTAAGTAGCTGTAGACGAGATGAGTGTCAAGGCCTGGCTGTGGGAGCTGCTGCCTTGTCTCCTGTGCTCTGTGCCGTCCCACGGCAGTGTGGAAAACAGTCAAGTCTTCCCGTTGGCTGCGCGCGTGGCGCTGAGCAGCGTTAGCAGAGCCTGAGCTCTGCCTGGGGGAGCCTGTTTGTTGGGCAGCAGTCTGCGAGCTGCGTTCTGGGGTGCTCTGTGCTCAATTCTGATCTCCCTTGAGTGACCCTGGGAAATGCTCGTTCCTTTCCTGGGCACCTGAAAGAAGGCAGCATCCAGTCAAGGATGGTCCAGTATCTCTCCCCAGGGTCAGCTGGTTTATTCAGGGTTCCTGGCCRTTTTGGTGAATGTGTTTAGTGACTGTCCCTTGATGTTCAGACAAGRAAAGAAACAATAAATGCCATCTCATTAGCTTCATTTACCCCGAGGCTTTTATTTTGTAGTGGCAAAACAGGCAGCTATTATGTGATGAAGCAAGAGGGTAAAAGTCAACTAATGATTAAAACTTCCTCTTCTCGCACTTGACCAAATATCAGCTGCAGAAAGGCTTCGACTTGTGGTGCCTCCCCTGTGTAATGCTTGACAGACCGGGCCTCTGGGACTGCAGAGCGCTCCCACATACTCTCTCCTGATGGAGATGCGATGTGCCGACATGGGCATGGTGGAGAGAACCCTTTCCAGGAGCAGAAGCACCCTGTGCTGCTCTCCAGAGGTTCCCTGGCACAGTGATGTTGGCCAGGGAACCAAACGTTGCCCTAAGCTGCCACTTGTCATGGGGTCTGTCCGGTTTCCCTTTCCTTGCCTGGTGTGAGCTGTGTTGGTCTCCACAGGAGCCGTGTCTGGGCTGAACCTTGCCTGATCGAGGCTGCCAAGAAGGAATATGATGGGGTGATTGAGGAGTTCCTGACAGTTGGAGAGAAGCTCTTTGGACCCTATGTTTGGGGCAGGTATGGCCTCCTGTTCTTGGTACATCTTGCTCCTTCGGGGCTGTCCCTCAGTCTCCGGGCCGTATCTGCAGGAAGCGGTGGGTCTGTACCAAGCCGTGTGCTCTTCCCTGCCAGGTACGACGTCCTGTTCATGCCGCCCTCGTTCCCCTTTGGTGGGATGGAGAACCCCTGCATCACCTTTGTGACACCCTGCCTGCTGGCCGGGGACCGTTCCCTGGTGGATGTCATCATCCACGAGATCTCCCACAGCTGGTTTGGCAACCTGGTCACTAATGCCACGTGGGGCGAGTTCTGGCTGAACGAGGGCTTCACCATGTATGCGCAGAGGCGGATTTCCACTGAGGTCTACGGTGCGTGGCCTTGCCCGGCCTCTGGCCTTGCCCAGAGCACGGCGTCCCCCGGGATGGCCTTGCTGTTGCAAGCAGAGCCCTGTTGTCCCCTTGGACAGCGGGTTTGGGAAGTTCTGCCRCTCAGCGTATCCTTCCTAGCACTACGTGTGGGGCCACATGCCCTAAAAGATGAGAAGAGCAGGTGTCTGCAGCACACCTGGTGCTGCTTGTTAGCAACAGAACAACCTTGTCTTGGAGAAGTGCATAGAGCCACAGTATCCCTGGGCAAAGGAGCAGTGGTCTCTCTCTTTTTTTTTTTTATTTTTAAACCAAGTCTTACAACTTTCTTCTGCTCTCCCAGCCCACCAGGGAAGGCAGTGCCAGGAGCCCAGAGCTCCCCAAACACTTTGGTCGCATCTAACAGCTCAGACACTACCTGGTGCTTTCTGCTGAATTTGGTGTCTCTAAAATCTTGCTAGTCCAGGGCTGCTTTACTGAGCCACTTTGTAGCTCCAGTTAAATGTCTAGTTTAGTTTATTGGTCCCATTATTCAACGATGGGAGGAACCAGCCCAGCGGCTGCTGCTTCCTGCTCTTCAGGCTGGTAGCAAGTGCCTTGTTATGCCTGTAGCAGCACACATTCCACTCTCTCCCCAGCCCAGAGCAGACACCAAGGGAGTATAAAGTGCTTTTGGATTCAGTTGGGGTTTCCAAGCACCTCCTGTTTCTCTGTGCCCAGGTTCTGCCTACACCTGCCTGGAGGCCGCCACGGGAAGAGCCCTGCTGCGCCAGCACATGGACAACACCGGCGAGGATCATCCGCTGAACAAGCTGCGGGTGATAATCGAGCCAGGTTTGTGGGGTGCCCCTCTCCTCTCACACCCAGCCTGGGGCAGCCGGGTTGTTGTGACACTCGGGAGGGACAGATCCGGGAAAGGTCCTGCTGCTGATGAGCTTCAGAGAAATAGGAACAGCGCTGGCTGCAGGACACGAGCACAGCTCTGGGAGGGATACGACAGGGCTTACTGCTAGACTCCACTCTCTGCTGCTCTGGGGCCCCCCAGCTCCATCAGAACTTGGTAGAAGTGGTCTGGAGACATTCCTGTGCTACCTGTAGTGCCCGGCCTGTACACTGGGATGATGTCTCCAATTAACAGAATTTCCTGGTCTCTCTAAGCACCCTCTCATGGGGACTGCTGGCTGCTGTGTGCTTTTTTTTTTTTTTTCCTCAAAATGTCCATCTTTTTGGCCCACTAGGTGTCAACCCAGATGACACATACAATGAGACGCCCTACGAGAAGGGCTATTGCTTTGTGAGCTACTTGGCACATCTCGTGGGGGACCAGAGCAAGTTCGATGCCTTCCTCCAGGTAGGTCCGTGGGCAGTGTGCRCTGGAGGGTCTGCTGTGCTTGGCATAGGAGTGTGCCAGTGCCCAGGCCAGCGCGTGGTGGTGAATGGGYGCTGGTGGAGGTGCTGAGTATGGGCAAAACTCAGCAGAGAGACACAGAGGCAATGGGACCCTCGAAAAGAAAGGGCTGAACAGGGTGGCTGAGGAGAGGAACAGAAGTTGGGAGACAGGGATGCTCACCGAGGAATGAGATTAGGGGTAAGCTCAGCCTTGCACTGACAGCAGATGGGGATGGAGTTTGGAGACTTCCCAGCGTGAAGCAGGGGCTGAGGAGTTCTTTATGGGGGCAAGGGAGACCGTGTGGGCTGGGCATGGATATGAAGTAGCTTCCTGGAGCTTCCCAAGGCCAGGGGGTCTTCAAGTGAGCTGGAGCAGAGGGCTGGCTGCTGTGAGGTGGTGAGCTTGCACAGCATCACTCCCTGTCCTCTCCGTGCAGGCCTATGTGAACCAGTTCAAGTTCCAGAGCATCACGGCAGATGATGCCCTCAACTTCTTTCTGGAATACTTCCCTGAGCTGAAGAAGAAAGGCGTGGAGTCCCTGCCAGGTCAGCACAGGGTGGCACCACATTGCAAAGCACCCGGAGGGCTCGGGGCTTTTCTATGTCTCGGAGTGTGAGGAACGTGCCTTCCTCAGCCTGGTTCCATGGATACTGGAGAGCTACCGTTTGATCCGTGTTTGTACACTGGGTCCAGCTCCATGGGTCTTAATTAAGATACTACTGCCTACTGTAGGGCTCGACTCTGCTGGATGCAGAGCAGACCTGGCGTGCCCAGGATCCAGTGCCCAACCGTGACTCAGTCTCATATGAGCAGTCTGATCTTTGCAGGTGAATACAGTCCTTCATCCATGCTCAGGTGCTGTCACTTGGGGTTTCTCCATCCAGAACAACCCCTGGAGTTTGCAGTGCTGGGATGTGAGGGGTTGTCACCTGAGTCACTGCTATGGTTGGGTTCAGCTGCTGCGTGATCTCCAGCTCTTCCCTGTGAGATGTCACTGAGATGTGGGCCTGGCAGAAGCCTTCTGGGCTGGAGCCCGGCTCTGCTCACAGGCTGTGGGCTGGACTGTTACTGCACAAGTGCAAACTGAGCTCTGAGTCCCGGAGAGGTGGAACCTGCCTCCTGGAGTCTATTCCTTGCCAAAATTGGCAGGTTTGTTAGTCCTGGGGGCACCCTGAGAGAAAGCTGCAGTTTGGGTGGTAGCTCCAGGTGTGGGGTGCGGAAATCCTGTCCCAGCTCTTCCTTCCTCGCCACAGGCTTTGAGTTTGATCGCTGGCTGAACACGCCTGGCTGGCCCCCTTTCCTGCCTGACCTCTCCCCGGGGGAGCAGCTGATGAAGCCGGCGGAGGAGCTGGCAGAGCTCTGGGCTGCCAACAACCTGAACATGGAGGCCATCGAAGCAGTGGACATCTCTGTCTGGAAAACCTATCAGCTGGTCTACTTCCTGGATCAGATCCTGCAGAAATCCCCTCTGCCGGAAGGTGAGGTGCTCCCGCTCCCGTGGGATAACGGTCCCTGGTCCAGCTTGTTGGCTGGGGACAGGAACATGAACATGTCACCGGCACACCTTGGTGCTCGTTGGTCAGCCTGTGCCCGCTGCGGTCCAGCACTGCTCCTGGACAGGACGTGTCTGGAGATGGGGAGCCTGGGGCTGGCTGGATGCTGGGGACACAGGTCCCTGAAGAGTTTGTCAGAGCTGGGGGAGCACATGGGGCCCCTCTGAGTGGAGATCTAGGGCTGGCCTCAGCACCGTGTCGGGGCTCACTGCCGCTGATGCCATTTTCCTTGCAGGCAACGTGGAGAGGCTGAGCGAGATGTACCCAAAGATCTCCAAGGCGCAGAATGCCGAGCTGCGTGTCCGTTGGTGCCAGATCGTCCTCAAGAACAACCACGAGGCCGAGTACAGCAAGGTCAAGGACTTCCTCCACAGCCAGGTTGGTCGTGGGCAGCAGCGGCTGTGCCTGGCAGTGGGGGTCAGGGTGGCAGCAGCTTGGGAGAGTGGGCAGAGGTGCTGGGAGGGCGTCCTCTCACTCCAGACGCTCCACGCGAGGGGCTGCCCCAGGCCGGGTGTCTGTACTGACCTGCCCCTTGTTTTTGGCCTGAGAGCAGCACGGGGGTGCAGTTGTTCCGGAGGGTGGCGCGGGATCCGCGCTGGTGCTCGCCGCCGTGCCCGGCGGCCGCGCGTGCGGAGCTCTGGGACCAGAGGCACCGGCCAGCTCCGGGCTGAGGCCTCACCCGCGCTGTGCCTTGCAGGGGAAGCAGAAGTACACCCTGCACGTCTACCGCGCCATGTGGAGCGGCTCAGAGACAGCCCGCGCCCTGGCCATGGAGACCTTCTCRGCTACGGCCCCTCAGCTCCACGTCAACGTCCAGAATTACGTCAAGAAGATCCTGGGCTTGGAGGTGGCGGAGAATTAGCGAGTGCTGCAGCCGTGGCGCTACTCTTCCCTGATGGAGCTGCGCTGCGGAGCTTTCTTGTGGCAGAACCTCTGAAATCATTGCACAAATTCCCTTATTAAAATTTGTAATTTGTAGCCTTTCTCCTTGTGCTCTTCCAAGTTCTGGAGCTTGGTGTGTATCCTGAGCATGAAGGGCTGCTCCAGCAGCGCAGCCCCATGTCCCAGAGTGGCTCTGGGACCAAGCCTCAGCCACCACTGACTCCTGGAGGCTCCCACTGCTCTTGGGGCCCAGCAGAAGCCTGGGCAAGTCTTCTGGCTGTAACTTAACTGTCACCCTCACCCTGGCACAGCTGACAGGGCCACTAGGGTCTCACAGCAGCCCAGTTATGGCTTGAAACCAGCTCTTAAGCCCAGATCTAATGCACAGCGTGTGCCTATGTCAGAGGGCAAAATAAAGAGAGAAAAGGGGTGCAGGTAGTTAGCTGTGCCCATGCTACTGTGCTTTCAAGAGAGAAGTGTTTAAGCGGGAAGGTTGCTCTGTATAGAACTAAGCAATCACAGTCACTGTTCAGACAGCAAACTATGCAACCAGAAGAGCAATCAACCCAAACTGCCAGTATTAAAATGATGCCTGTGCTTAGCCAGGACCAGCTCTTTGCATTTTACTGGGCTAAATACCAGAGCTGAGTAGCTGTTAGACACCAAACATGATTTGCAGGCTTTAAACAGGCTGCCCTACAGGTGGAGACTGGACTTAGCCCGTGTTTAGGATGAGAAGGCTGGACAGTGCTGCTAGTATTTTTCCTCATCAAAATAGAGCAACTAGAGCACAGGGTGAGACCCAAATGCTTGACCAAGTGTAACAGGAGCACGTTAAACTACTCCCCAGCCCAGGTACTTCCCCTGCCTCTTTCCCCTTGGACCAAGTGACACAGATCAGGCCAGCACCAGCAGGGCTGACCCGCGGTGCTCCCTGCTGCAGATCCTGCTCCACGTCCCCATGCAGGCGGGCCCTGGCTCGGGCTGAATGGGGTCAGCACCAGCCCTGCACACACATCAGCTCCTCTCACTGAAGGTTTTTTTCCTTCTTCCTGTCTCCCTGCGTAAGAGCAGCCTAGAGGCAAATCAGCCTGACAAGCTAATGGCTCCATTGACTGCAAGGTTTTTTTCCTACAATAAAGCCTCCTGATGCAATAGGAGGCTGACTGAGCACTTGAGGTCACTAGGGCATTTGCTTGGACAAAGCCAAAAAAACCTCTCCACAACAAAGATGCCTACAGTGCCCCAGCACAGGCACTGCTGAGTCTGCACATTTCACTGCTGAGGAGCTCAGGAATGACCTTCCAAGCCTCCCTCCCCAGCTAAACTGAGGAAAACAGTCAAAGGGATTGTGCCTGGCTTAATTGCAATGAGCTGGTCCTTACTGCTGGCACCAGCCTCATCACGCTTGGGAAATGGGTGTCCTCCAGAGGATTTGGCATTGCTGAAAGTAACTTAGTGTTATTGTCAGTTGTAGCATAAAGCCCTTCTCCATTTGCAGCTCTTTTGGTTTCCCAAGGAAAAGGGATATTGTCTGTATAATTAAGACACCTCTGACAAGCAGCTTCATCGCCTGTGTGGCATGGGAACAATCCCACAGGTTAAGATGAGTCCTGGGCTCTGAGGTGCAATTGCCACCTGTGCTGTGACTCACCTGGTATAAACCATGTGCGGGGAGGCAGATGGAGAGGTACCTGCAGTATTTCCCTTGGGTTACACAAAATAACGTTCTCCATTGCAGGGAGAGACTGTAACATCCCTCTTGACCCACCACGTAGGTGCAGCAGTACTGCTAGAGGCTGCAGAACAGGAGCTCGTATTTGGTACTGCACCAGGAACAACCTCCCGCCCTGAAATAAAAATCCCAGCTGCAAGAGTAGAGCACAGGGCCTGGGAGGCTGCTCTGCAACCACTCCAGCACAGGCTGGCTGTTATTTCAAGCAGTCAGATGGGAGCACAAGCTCTGGGCTGCCTCGTCCTTCATGTGCACTTAGGCAGCAAGCAAAAGGAACAGAAACCACCCGTGGCGAAGCTCTCCTGCAGCACTGGGTGGCAGCTATCGCTGAAGCAGCGGCCAGGGTTTCGCCTGCTGTTCTGCCTCCTCCCTGTCCTGCTGGGACGGCCGACGTGGAGGTCACCTCACGTGGGCTGAGGACTGGTGCAAGTTGGCTCAGATTTTGGTTCTCTGCATGCCTGCTGCTGCCTCCCTCCTTGGGGCTCTGCGAGGGGGCTCAGCACGGGGGAGCAGCGCTGCGCTGGGCTCAGTCAAACCAACCCCAGCTGAGCTCCTGTGCTCCCCTGCGAGCGGCGAAAGGCAGCACGGARGGAACCTGCCTCTGCTCCTCTTCCTGCAACGACTAACAGAGACACTTCAGCGCAAAATGAGTGACAAGAGTGGCACAGATACTTATTTTTAACACYGTAACCTTCATCAAGCTCAGAGGTCTTTTTCACAGAATCACAGGATGTTCAAGGTTGKAAGGGACCTCTAGAGATCATCTAGTCCAACTCCCTGCTCAAGCAGGGACACCTACAGCATGTGGCACAGGATGGCATCCAGGTGGGTTTTGAAGACCTCCAGAGAAGGAGACTCCACAACCTCCCTGGGCAGCCTGTTCCAGAGCTATGTCACCCTCACAGTCAAGAAGTTCCTCAATTCTTTCAAAAAGTAAGGTCAACTCAACCATGGAATGTAAGGAGATGTTAGCTGTTTATTCATACATTGATTAAAAAAGGCTTAATGAGACAGGATTAATAGATTTTAGACTCAGAGAGGACCTCTGCCATCTTCTAGCTTGACCTGCTGCAGAGGTCTGGGCCTGGTGGACTTACTCCACCAATGGAAGCAGCTGCAAAAGGGTTTATCTGTTAATCCCACCACGGGAGTCTCTGACAGGGCCCCGTGTTCTGGTGCATCAGTCGGCTTCACCACTAACCCCATGCCCTCTACATCCTGCTTGGCTGCATCTAAAATCCACTTACAGCCCCTGGCTGTTGCAGCTCAAGTTCTTTAAATAGTATAATTTAAATATCATTGCAAAACATTAACAACTCACGACTGTTCTACTTTACTGGACAGAAGTAATTATGGGCTTGATTTTGCACTTAGTTAAACCCCCAAACCACGTGGCACAAATTCCTTCTCTTCATGGTTTCAGCGTTAGCATCTGCACAGCAGAGAGCGAGCGCCACCCTGCAGAGGTACCAGCCCCGCGGCGGGGACGTCGGCTCTCCGGCTCCTCCCGGCCGCGGCGGCTCCCGGAGCGGCTCAGCACCGCATGGCAAAAACACAGAGAGTCAGCTGTAAAGCGCTAGCAGTTTTTTTTTTGAGGAATAAAGGAAACATTTGGATTACCCATGCACGTCATATGTCTGAGCCCAGCTCCGCGCACTGCTTGTCTGATATGTGATTAGCTAACGACTCTATGATGTCAAGGAGGAGCGGCTGACTCAGGGAGCGGAGATTTGGCAACTTGGAGACCTTCAGGGGAAAGAACAAAACAGAAAAACACAAGGAAATTAAAACCCTCCCCAAACCATGGTTTATGTGGCGCTGCTTTTACCGTGATGCGGACAGGCCCGAGGCCGGGTGCGGGGCTGCAGGGAAGGGCCCATCTCCCACCACCACGGGGGCAGGATGGGAATGGAGACAGGAGACCCCAGCACTGACTCTCTTATGAGAAGAACTACTGCTATTTATAACAGTAATTCTATTGTTAATGCACACAAGGCTCTGGGCTGTCCTGAAAGCACCAGAGCAGCCCTGACAAGAAAGTCTGTGGCTTTCTCCTGATGCTCAAACCTTCTGGATGGGACATTTAGGAGCTAGTCTCTTTGCTCCAGTGGGCTTTGAGGGGATGTGGTACCTTAAACAGGTTTAATGTCAGGGGCGGCTTTGCCTGTACGCTTGCTACAGCCAAAGCAGGTCACAGGAGCATTGGTCAATGCAAACTTTTGCCACATCAGATATATGAAAATCTCCAATAAAAATCACACTCTCAGGCTGGTTCAATTGGAAAGATGTTCTGTACCTTCCTTCCTTCTTCCCATCTTTATAATAGCCAGCATTATAGCAACAATARCATTCCTCCTCCTCCTAGATTTATTATCTGTGCTTAACATACATGTGAAGGCTTAAACAAGGATCTGCCTAAAAACTTACTTTTGCAGCCCATATCAACCGAGCTGGAAGGTATCACCTCACTCAAAGAAGCTTGACTATTCTGAGAATCTTTTGAAACCCACGAAGGAAACTGCTAAAGATACTTTCCAAAAAAGCTCAGGATAAATGCTTGAAATGCCCCAAGTTAGGGGCTACAAGGACTGGATGAAAATGCTAAGACCCCCTTAAARCTGTTGGGAATCCTGCACCAGCACTCAAAGGCTCACACCACGCAGGACCAGCACAGCACCATGGGCAGCAACAGGGGCCAGTGGCAGAACACAAGCAAACACTTAAGCAGAGACATTTTATTAGGGCATTTGTACAACACAGACACACAGGGGCCTCGATACACAGTGCTGAACTCCTGAACCTCTTTGAACAGCTCTTTAAATGTTCCTTCTGCAGGAAAACTTTACTTTTCTGTATAGAGGACAGCATTAATCAAGTGGAACAAAATAAACCAGGAGACCCCAATGGCCGTAGCACCCAGCCTGCCTGAACCTTGCTGGCCCACGAGGCTTGCAGGGCCCGAACGCACCGACCTGCAGAGCCTGGGGCAGGAGGCAGCGCAGCAGCAAACACTCCCGCCCGGCCAAAATGAAAAGAATCCCACACCAGAGCCCCCGGACCAAGCTCAGATGTTGTGTGATGAACATCTCTTGCACATCTGCTCGACACCCTCCCAGCCACATTTTGGCAAAAGCTGTTATAACAGTCAACCCTTTCAAATACAAAAAGTTTCTATGTAGCCTGGTTAGTAAAAATGAGTGCAACTGAGTAACACTTTCCATTCAAATGTTTTTTTTTTTCCCCCTGAAGTGATGCAATGCTCATTCCCCACATTTTGGTGAGAATCCTTGGAAGCTGCTTGTTGTGATGCCTCCAGTGGGAAGCTGAGGCCATTGCATTGCAGCAATCTGGGATTACAGGGCATTGATCTCCCAGCCCAGGAGATGTCCTGGGGACCAGGCAGCTCTATAACCTGCAGCAGGACCGTCCTCCAGCCTGTGCTGACGCTGGGCAGCTCCACATGATTCACATGGCCAGAAGAAACCAAGAAAGATGAAGTTGGGGGCTGTGAGCTAGTGCTGAGGACCCTCCACTGGGTTACTTAATGCTGGCTCCGCTCTCGTTTTTCTTTTTCTGAATTTTTTAAGTGTTTTCTGAACGTAAAATGCATTACCCTTGGGTAACTTCATCATTTAATGAAGAGCCTCAGTGCCTGCCTCTTACTATCTCATCTCTAGGTACAAATTGGACCTAAGGTGCTCTCCTTCCCCCACCACTGGCTGAAGTGGGAGGACCRGGAGATAAAACATACAGATGACAGCAAGCTTCTCAAATGCTAACCAGGGAATTATTATCAATACATCTGTAGCATCCAGAAATCCCAATTCCCAGGCTCTATGATTTATCTAGCAATTTAACAAACACTAATAGTTCTGCAATGAACTGATGACAAGCTGGGAAGCGCTCATGGAGGGATTATATCTCACACAACACAACTAAATGACAATACCCGTATTCTCTAGAGTGAGGACAGGAATATCAGCAYATGGGGCTCTTGACCTTTCTATGACTATGGAAACAAGAGAAAGCCCAGAATGGTAATCTGCCTTATGAGCACATGCCAATGTAATTTCTGCAGCAGGGAGAGCGCTTCAGCAGAAATGTGAACAGCAGCAYGTCTGTAAATGCTGGTGAGAGGAAGGTTTGTGCACTGGATACAGGGCAAACCGATCTTGTCGTACACATGAGAACCCAGTGATGGCATGGCACAAAAGCAAGAGCTGAGAAAGGACTGGAAATGGAAGTAAATCTAGATAACTTCTGCTTTGGAAGGTCTTCACATCTCCAAAACAGGTCATTCTGTTCTATTACTTATTTTTCAGTGTGGAATGTACGCCCAGCAGATTTGTCACTGCATGTCAGTGACACGCAGCTAGCTTCAGCTGTCTCACCGGAGGAAAAAAGTGGATTCTAATATTAAGATGTCTTTAACCACCGTAGTGACAGAGGACAGCAGGTCTCAAGAGCCCCAGAAAAGATGCAACCAACCTTGGTGAACTGGTGAACGATGATGTGCAGGCAGTGCCTCTTCATGTCCAGGGCTTGGGTCTTGTCAGCTGCCTCCAAGATCTAGGGCAAAACCAAACCAAGATGTGATTTCCCTCCTGTGTTGCTCAGACAAACAGCACCTAATACTCTAATGACACACAGAACATGTGGAAACACGTCTGCCAAAGGCTGAATTCCTGCATAACCATGACCCATGCAGGGCCACCACCACCCTGGATGTCACTTGGGTAGGACAGGCAGCAGGCAGGCATCATCTAGGAAGAGGAGAGGCTCTACAGTTCTACAATATATTCCAACACTAATACATTTTTCATGCTCTCCTGTACAAATGCAACCCTAAATTCTAAAGATGTCCCTAAAAAAAGGGCATACTATCTTTACCTTAAAAGCTACATGCATATACACTCTACAGCATTAAGTAAAAAAAAAAGTGTCAAAAAAAAAGACTGAACACCAGGCCTATTTGGCTTAGGCCCTTTAGCCTTGCTGTATTTAAGACAAGTGACTAACTATAGCTACAGGGGGACAATTACCTGGAGTACATTTTCCACCGTGACATTCATTTCTAGATTCTGCTTACAATAGGCTTGCAGTCTGTTGTTGGAAAAACCATAATAGTAAGGTGCAGCAAAGAGATAACTGTGAATCCCATTAAGGAAAAGAAAAAAAAAAAAGGGCAAAATAAATATAACAGTAACCGATCCTAAATACAGCCCAACAGCAGAAGTTAAAAACGTGATGCATATTAGTGCAACATTGACAAATAACCCTCCTAGGCTGTGCCTAACTATCCTGTGCAAAAAGAAGTCGAGGTGCTGGGTATGCACTTGAACCAGCTGCTTCAAGTATTTTCGATTAAAGGATACAGGGAATCCTCAGGAGGCATGTTTACTTCTCCGTAATAGATATATCTAAGCATAGATTCAAATGCTTGCTTGCTGGGAACCATTTCACCTATAGATATATTTACTTGCCCATCTTCCGGCATGAAGGAACGGAACATGGCTTCAAAGTAACTGGAAAAGGAAATAAAAATTAATGTAATATGCAAGCTCTATGGGTCACATTCTGCAAACAGATGGTTTAACCTAGGACTGTCTGAAGGCAGCTGTTAAGCACTGCAGCTTCCAAGGAAGTAATTTCAGCTGACAACCTGGGGTAAAATATTGCTAAATTGTTATGCTTTATATAGGTCTGTCTGTGAGCAAACTCCAAACATAATCCCCATCATTTCCAACAACACTACCTGGAATTTGTCTCCGTTTCTTGAAAATTAGGACACACAGTGCTCTGATTTTCGTCTAATTTGCATAAGACCTACTAGACAGCTTAAATCACTGCGAGTTTCCTTGGTATCTGCAGCCTGTGGCTGCCAGTCATGTAGCCTCGTTTTCAAGTTGTGAGATGCTTCTGGGAAAATACTCAGGTAACTAATACTGAATATTATTACTGGGACAAGAGAAAAATTTCTGATGCTATTTGAAGTGGAAATTTTATGTGACTGCTTCATGTCTGCGGCATGCAAAGACGTGCATATATGCAGTGTTCTCTGTGCAAGGGAGGGACAAACCCATTTCATCCATGTGCTGAGGGGGGAGAATTAATCATCATCCTTAGCAGAGTGAACTACTCGCCTCTGTGACAAAGTATGTGAATAATTTATTCTCTGTGTGCACCGCTTCTTTCTGTGTTTGCTCATACTTTATCTGGTGAGCGATAYATAAGTTTCATATAACCTAAAATGGATGTTCACCATCAGAGGACTCTTGCTTACCTCAGTGGACATCTGTTGCTTCCCATTTCCTTAAAAATAAGTCTTACACTTTACAGCCTCTTTCTCTCCCTGTGWTTTAACTGATTCTTTGTCTTGAGGTGCAGCTTCTCAAATATGGTCTGGAGAATCTCTACAGTTTTAATTTCCTCCTGTCTTTCCCTGCTGGGTATTGAATCGAAAAATATTTCATCACTGATGTTTATAGCACTTCTTGAGCAAAGTGGTATCTTGTGCATATACAAAGATCCTCCCTGACTCCTACAAAAAAAAAAAACAACCTGCACAAGTTTCACTTTTATGGCAACGACTCTCACCTGGAGCGGGCTGCTAGGATTGCTTTGTGGGCTGGCCGCGGGTGCCCRTCCAAGAGCAGGATGATATCACAGAATTCAATCCCAGCTCCTTCCAGGTAAGCCTTCATGTCCTGAATTAAAGATGTTCCTGAAAGCCAATACGGTGAAATGGTTAAAAAAAAGAGAAAGACATGATAGTGCCAAGATGACAGCTGATACTCAACTAATRTAAGGTTAAATCACAGCTATGAACTCCCTTTTTTTGGGGACCTATGGGGTGACTGGCCAGCCCTTTCTCTGAAATAAGCTTCCCCATCACAATTCCTTACCTACTGCCTATCCCAATAGCGTGCCTGGCAGCTCTGCTTTCCAGTTCCTACCACGAAGCACTGGCAAGGAGCAACACAAAGGTGCTTTCTATACAAAAAGGTGAGTTTTTTCCCTATCTTTTCATTTCCAGTTACCAGGAATATAGAATTTTTCTCTTTACTTAAATGGAAAAGCTTTCCTCAGTCTTTAATGAAGGCTTCTCCTATCCAACATTTTAATTAGCTTTGAAACTTCATGATAATCAAAAAATAGAGCAATCATACAAGTCTGACCCAAACTCTTTCCTCATCTCAAGGGTCAGCTTTCAATTTTTTTGGTGTTTCAATCTCTAATGCCCTTTCATTTCTAAACATAGAGGCTGGCTACTCCATCTTCCAGGACAGTGCACGTCTCTTCTTCTTGGGACGACTGTCCGCCAAAGGTTCTCCACTTGACCTTCAAGAGGACTAGCATGCTCTACTACTCCAGGACATTCTTCTTTTTGCACAGTATTCCAAAGCAATACTGTCAATGCCTCTGAACTTCAGGGCCTCAGCAAATTTCATTACTGTGTTTCTTTTTTTGGCCTCAGCAGGATAAAATCTTACATAAGGCTACTCCCAAATCTGTCCTCAATTAATTCTGTAACAGAATTATTAATCGATTCTTTTCCTTCCAGCACAATCACAGAATGAAAATGAAAGGCATGACTGTTAGTGCAAGTTATTTATCTTCTCCTCCCTATCTTTCTATCTCTTCTTCCATTAACTTTTTTTTTTTGTAATTTTTTCCATGCCTTTTTTTTYCCCTTTCTCTCTCATAAGGTCTGTCCTGTCAGCACTGGCGTACTCCCAAGATCATCTTCCTCACTGCTGCTCCTTCTTGGGTGGCAATTTATGAGCAGGTCAACTTCCCCTGCTAACAGCTTTGTTTCCTTCTTGTTCACATTAACTGAATCCCCAATGCCTTTTCATTGAGTCCTTTATACCCTTCTATTCCTTCTGCCTCTCCAAACACATTCAGGATGCCTGATTCTTATATATTCTTGATCCATATACTGCATGGAGAAGATGACCAAGTACAACACAACCCTACAGGTATTTTGATGGGAAYAATGTCCTAAATGAAGTTCCCTGCAGAAAGAACTGGAGTGCTCTTTCTTGGTTTGGGAAGCCAACTAAACACATCCTTAACAAAACATGGCACTAGCAGCTCAAAACCAGCACAACCAGTACCTTGATAGGATATAATAGTTACCAATGTCAAGCGGCTGATCGGAATGCATTCGAACGGGAGGTTGCTGTTTTCTCCGTACAATCTCCACTATGAGGGATGAGGAAAGATGTTCAAACTCCTTCATCATTATTACCTGGTTAAAGTGTGATTCTTTCACCACAAAATTCAGGCAATGTTCCTTAAAGAAAAAAAAAAAGTCACTTTGCTCATAGGAAGAAATATTACAGAACCATTTCAAAATCTAACCRATTTCTTTCCGGTGGCAATATCAGTTATCAGTCCAACCAGCCAATTCAATCTTCATTAGATGTTCAGAATCATCYGCTGCAATCTAAAAATACACTATTTGATACTGCAGAATATTCTACCACCTTTCAACAGACTTGCACCTTGCAGCGCTGCCACTATCCCCTATCCCCTATGTTGCAGGAACTGTCTCTCTTAAGGATGAGTTGTTCAGTTCTCAGTTATACTTTATGAAGGAAATTGGATTCTTTTCAGACAGCCACAGCCATCAGGAATGCATCTCTCTGCCTGATGTGCTGCCACCCAAAGGCATAAAGAGCAGAGCAGGCTTAATTGTCCCTTAGTTCTTTTATAAGCCCCAAATCCCAGAGGAGCAGCACTGTGCATAAGTGCAGAGTGACAACAGCTCRTGACACCTCACCATGAGGAGCAACGAGCACTCGAGAGAATTCCARTTCAAAATGATCCTGAGCAACTGGAGCGATGCAGTAAAGCCCTTGCCACCTAGTTGGTAGCTAAGGCAGSTGGAGGTATCTCATTTATCTGAAATCATTGTTAGAAGATCCATGGGTGCTAAAACGCTCCATTCCTGAGCTTGTGGGCAGCTGATGGCACCAGGGTCCTACGCACCAAAGGCTGTGCCAGCACTTACATAACTGCGGCCGACTCTGCTGCTGTCTTACTGGATTTTCTTTGCCCACATCCAATGCATAAAGAGTGCCCGAGGAAGTGCTGGAACCTACTGGTTTGTCTAGCCCTACTCCGGTGGTAACTGTCAGCTTTACTTCCACAGGCTCAAATAGGCATTGCATGGACACGGGTGCTCCAATAGGCACTGCATGAATCTTGCATTGACCCTTGGACTTAGGTGGAGGAGCTGCTTCTTTTCTGAAGTTTTAAGGAGAGCTGGCTCTAGTTGCCCTTAGTGGGAACCACAGCACRGCAGCACAAGCACGGTCTGAACCAAAGTCACAGCCTTTTGCATCCTACAGGGCAGTTAACCAAACAGAGCTAACACTTAGCGAAAACCCACATAATATTCACAAGTGCCTGGAGCACTATCCACACTAACATATACTCCAGCAACTACAATTACAGGGAAGAACCACACTTGCAAAAGCTGACAGCTTTATAAAACATTAATTATGCCAAGATTTCTTTTTTATTTCTTATCAGCTACTTTGTATGCAAAATGTGATTACCTTTAGCTGATCCAGTTGAAGCTTGTTAGCATTTTCACACACAATAAGCACATTCTGCAGATCTACAGAGGCCTCGATATACTGAAGGCAGAGCTGTTCCAGTCGAGAGAGCTTGAAGTTTAAGGCTAGCTTGTATACATCCATAATAAGTAACACATCCTGCACATGGCCTGAAAAAACAAGAGATAACGATGCCCTTCAGTATCTCTAGAGACTTCAAAGGAAAAACAAAGCAAAATAATTTTTAGTATCAACCTGAATGGGCAGAGAGTAGTAAAGKACCCTTATGAGAAAATATATATATATTGCTTCTTCAACTAAATCAAGAACTGGTACTGAAAAAAGGAGCAAGCAGTGTTTCAAAACTCAGTGATGAAAGCAGCCACCCCAGAACATATTTCAGTCTAAGATTTTGTGTCAATCTAGCACCCAAATTTGAAAACCTCTCAGAAGAATGTGAAGGCCCTAAACTCATTAACAAGCTCAACACAAGCAGCCTGATTTTACAATGTGCTGAAGTCCCAGGTGTTAAYGAAGTGCTAGCCATCAGCTCCCCGGTTTTGACAGGCCTTTAGGAGAAGAGACAGTGCTTGTGCATGCAACACATCTAACATGCAACACATCTAMGGCTGGGCTAGAAGAGAGGGCTGAAGGCAAAGAGGGGCAGTGGGGACCCAGGTTGGCTACTGCATGAGGGCTACTGGGACATGAAATCAAAGAAGCCACCGCAGCCTTTGCTTTTCTCCYGGGGGATCTCTGGCCATCTGCCGTAACTCCTTTTTTTGACAGAGCAAAGCTGCCTTGCCCGTCATGCGGCTTCCCTGGGTCTAATAAGGAAAATCTCATTTGCTAGGCATGCCCAACTCTATTAGTGCAGCCTCCGAAAGGAGGATTCCCCCGAGCTGCTGCCCTCCGGACTAAGAGCAGCAACCAGGAATAGGTACAGTCAGAGCCACTGGAGGATTGCAGCGGATTAACAGCACTGCAGAAAGGCAAGCACCAGGGAGAGGGTTTGAGGGGCTGGCGAGAAAGGTCTGGGCAAGCYGCTAACAAAGGGAGAAGTTCAATGTGCTAATCCCTTCTTTGGGCTGATTCTGCCCCGCAATGGATGTGCTGAGAATTAACCAAGGGGCTAAGAGTGGGATCTGGCAATGCTCGCAGCATCCAAGGAGATTCTCTTGTTCCCATTCCTGAGGCTTGCTCTGGGATGTGCCACTTTGCAGAAAAAGCCTGCAGATCGCTTCCTTGGGCAACTGCATGCAAATCAGTGTTTTCCAGAGAATTCTAGAAAGGAATGATCTTGGATTCAAACTGAAACAAAGCTTCCAGTGTTGGGGCAGATGTACCTCAGGTGAAAGCACTGGGCCAGGTGACTGCMGCCTGCCCAGTCCTCACCAAAGAGAGGCCCCCCAGTGCACCCCGTTCTCACTCCCACGGCCCAGCAGCCCTCATTGCTCAATCACAGCCAAGAGGCAGTTTCGCTGCGTCAGAGCTGAGCAGTCTCTGGCTATTGCCTCTCTCCTCTAAGTGTTTTAAATTCAGGGCTCTTCAGTGAATGCATYGAATGGATTTTTCCTTCTTGAGGCTTTCCTTTACATGGACTTTTTGAAGACAGGATGAATATTGCCCTGCTCTGCCTTTCTCTGCAGCAGCAGAGGAAGGAAATAAGCCAGCATAGGATGCGTGGTTCTTGCAAGCAGGCTGCTGTAATGCAGAGCTCATTTAAGGTAATGGATAATATCTGTGGGCAGATGAGTTTTCCTGCAGCTTCCACTGTGAACTGTAACCAAAGTTAGCATGCAAAACTTGCACCTCAGCAAGTTTAAGATTTACCTCCTATTTCTGTGTCCAAAATACATTTTTTTTTTACATTTTTTTCAGAAAGATGAAGAATCTAGTTTTCCATGATATCTGAAAAGAATCAAGGAACACTGGAGCACTGGACAGTATGCTTGGACAAAAATTTACAATACAGTTTTTTAATCTCAGGTAAGTAATTAGGTGTTAAGAGCTTATTTGCAAACGTTTAATCCTTTTCCATACCAAAGTAAACGTCTGTTCCCRAGTTGCTAACGTTTTGTTTTTAACTCGGCTGCCCTACCTTTGCGGGGGTATTTTATTTTATCCGTGTACAGAAACTGCATGAGCACCTCGAAGGGCTGAGCTTCGGCCTCGCGGATGGGCACTTCCAGGAGGGGCTGCAGGCGGCACAACTTGACATTGCCACCAATCCCATCTTTCTGACACACCGCCTGTCCCTCGTCTTCAATATCTTGCTTGGACTTCTAATGAGAGAGAAAAAACACTCAAATATGACCATGAGGTTGTGTCAATCCATACACATTATCATCAGGTCAGATCCTTCTCATTCCAGCACAACGTTTCAAAATACAATACAGAATGCACGTGCCTCAGMCATACTGTTCCCTCTCCTGTTGCAAAACCAGATCAAAATAAATGGGAATTCCTGGAAAAAMCCCAAAAATGACCTCGGAAAAAAAGGAACGACTAGCAGAGACCTTCCCATCAACTGCTTCACGCCACAGCGGAAAGCAAAGGAAGACACAGCAGCAAGTTCCACACAACTCTGCCTTGCAGAGCCAGAGCACAAAGTGCTCCGCAAAAGAATTTTGAGGCTTGCTGCTTCGAAGTTTCAGTCTGACAACCCTTTCCTTGCAGCCTTTTCCAGGGAAAATTGAGGGCTAGGGGATGGCAAAGCAATTAGCAAAAGCGCAACAAAGAAGCCACGTGTCTTAGCAGACCTGTTTGTGTCTTCTCCTCATGTATTCCTSGCTGCTACCATTTCCTCAAAAACAACAAAATGTTTGATGCTGAAAAGTTGTATGTAGTTGAAGCTGAGCATGTTCCACAGGCACCAGCAATACGGGAAAATTAGAAAATTCTAAGGTACAAGCCACTCTCAAAACCCTAACTCTGTCTTCTCTCTCATCTCGCAGACCATCCCAAATGGCCTCAGCCTTTGACYTCCCCACATTATGGGATAAGCCTCCCAGCCTAGGGGCAGGCTACAAGATTCAAGCAGACAGCTAAGACATCTCTCGTGAACCATGCTGCCAAATGCAGCAAACTGGATTAACGGTGGTTCCTCCACGTTATGCTCCTTGCCTGGGCTAACGTATATGCACTACCCTATGTTAACCCTAACTGTCCCCTGTACRGCACATGCCTGGCATCACCTGAGCAGCAGATGCTGATCTGCTCCTACACCTGTCTGAGCAAATGTTYGGTTTTCCCTAACAATTTTATTTCCAGATTTGGACAGAACAAGTATTACCTTGCCGCCAGGTTACTGCCCCGAAACACTTGCCTGTTTCAATCTCTCTCTTGCCTGTATGATTTTCTTTCTCAGCCACTTGCAGCGAGCAGTAACAATTGCAGCATGTCCTCGGACTCGTTCTTCCTTCTGTCGGAGGCAAAAGAAAAGCACACAACAAACTTGTATTTACGAATCACACGACAGAAAATGAGAGAAGTAGCAGAAACCCGGRCTGGATCCTCAGGTACAATTCGGTACTTYAAGTTAAAAACAAAAGCAAGCTTAYCYCTTCTCTGCACTTTCAGATAAGACTCCACACCTATTTTCCCCTAAAGACTCAGCAATGGCAAAAGTCACTTGAAAAGAGTCTTTGCTGTATATTTACTGACTAGAAGTTGTTGTGTAAGGGCAGTACCACGGATTCTACTCTTTAGYTTTATATTTGATTTACAGTTTGTCTTTCTTTCAAAGCCACTGTAGACTTGTTTATCTGTTATTGTGGCGTATCCTCTGATATCTGCAAAGTCTTCTATAACTACAGTCCTTTTTACAAAAAGCATTGTTAAGTTGAAATTGCTCAGGTTTATTCTAAGGAAAATGCTCTTTTTGAACTTTGATAATTGTTTTCATTATTGGAGAATGAATAACATTCTTTTCTATTGCTTTATCATTCCATTGTATTTCAATAATTCAAAATAGATCCTGAAATAGATCTGCAAAACACTGACCTGCTCTTCCCAGGAAAAGAGGCACAGAGGTCCTTATTATCATTTTCATACTGCAATTACATATAAAGTACTCTGATAAATTTGAGTTCTGTCTCAGTGACCCACAGACATTCTGGTTCAAAACTTCCAAAGTTTTTTTTGTTTATTTGTTTTCCTCTTCTGCAGTTTTATAAATTGACCTAGATTAGATAACATTTTCATCTAGGGGTTCTCATAATCTCATTCCAAGATTTCTGGCACAAATATGGGAYAACTTTGATTTTTCTCAACTAGCATTCTACATGATGCACACACCTGTGTCATATATTCAGCTGGTCCAACCAAAACACCTTTTTCACTAAAATAGACTCACCTCTCCCAAAACAAACTCCAAGTCACTGAATTGCCTGTTTTCCCACAGCCTTCCATAATCCTCATGTAGTGTGCACTTTGGGTAACAAGAAAACTAAAAGAAAAAACAAACAGCAAGACTTATTTCTATCCATTTCAACTGGCTGTCTCCAAAGCACTCTATAGTTACATCCTATTCCTAGATTTTCCCGTTAACTTGACCTCAGTGTAGTAGGGAAACCATAGAAAATAGGGACAAACCAAGTATGCAAGGATTTTCTTGCAGTGAGAGCAATAAAAAACAACATAAACAACTAAGACTTGTGTCTTATCACACAGATTAGGATTTTGTGGCCAGGAGCCTTATCTGGTCTCCAAACCCACACAATACAAACCCTTGCGTGGGGGAGGAGGATGCACTGTGATGCAAAACCCTGCAGATTTCCCCATTTTTGATTGTTCCAGGTCGTRGGGAGCAGCAGCAGGACTCGCCCAGACAGAACGCGGGCGCTCGAGCCTGTTTAGCCTTCATTACCTGGAACCTGTACATCTCGCCACTTCTGATGTTGTTGTCCACGGTCCCACCGAAGATGTACATGGCATCTGAGATGACGGCCGCAGCATGGAACAGTCTCCCACTGGGTAGCTAGAGGACAAAAGTAAATGTCAAAACAGCTGCAGGAATAAATTCCCCGTCTTTCTCCTCCCAGGAAGAAGGGCCTGTAACAGAGCAGCAGTAAGAAGGGGAAGCCAAGGCAGTCTGAAGTGACTCTACTGTTTGCATCCTAATATTGCTGTTTATTCTATTTTCTGATTGTTTCCTAATTGTATGCAGAACATGCTGCCCAGCCACATTTAAAAACAGCTCTTCATTGCATCTTCTGATCCGAATCTCCCATATGCACAGCTCTACAAATGGCACTTCAGCAACTGTACCATTTCCCCAGCACTGCGACTCGAAGCTAAGTTTTATGCAGGAAAATAAAACCATGGCACAAACGCAGTCTGTGAATGACAGCAGTAGAGAAACTCGGAGCTTACTCTGAGCATCACCTAGAACTAAATATATAAATTGCTCTTTATCTTGGCAGGATATTGAGCCCTGGACCTGCAAAAGGGTCCCCATGTCCTTTGCTACAACGCAGGGGAGTCGCTAACGCTCATCTGCAACGTCGGATTCTGCAAAGGGGCTCAGCGCTGCGAGGGTCGGCCCCTTGCAGGAAAGGCTCCTTTCTCCAAAATGCTGGAAAACTAAAGCTTGGGCTTCATGAAGCTTCAAGCTGCTTATAGGACTGCGGGATGGGACAACCTCTTCTTGTACAGTCCTCGACCTGGTATTCAACATTTTTTATAGGCGGAAGGAATCCCTGTAATTCAAAGGTGCAGAGGAACCTTCCTGCATACGATAGATCAGATTATTCTCACACGTTTTCCTGAATTTCACACAAGGTATTGGATCAAATGAGCACACCTCACAACGATCTAAAGCAAAATCTTCAAGTGATTTTACCTTTTTTTTTTTTTTTTCAGTTTGATTAGTCTTGTTTCTTTTCCCAGACAGCAAATCTTGCAAAAATCTTCGCCTATTAAATAAAAACCCTCTGGTAGAAGAAATCTTTCTTCTCATACATATTTATAGTCTCAACTCAAGCAAAATCAGACAAGAAAAAAATATTATGTTTATCTGGAGAGGCACATTTTCCATGAAACCATGCTGACTGGCATTTTTCATTCCCACAGAATTATCCCTTCTACCACAGCGTCTCACAATGGCCTCATTTAATTTGTTACTCACCCGAATATTTCTGACTTTTTTTCCCATCAAACTACAGCTTTCAAGGACACAGTCCCCCTGCGGTAACTAATGCCTGCGTTTTTGTTGATGGTGCTCTCAAAAGTACAGCCACAAATTTGGTCAACCTAAAAAGCATGTTTGTGCYTTTTTAGAAGGTCGTCTAGGTAAAACACCTTATTTCTTCAGCATATTTAACAGATCTTTCTTAGCAGCAAGTTTAAGTTTTCTGTGGTAAATATTCCGCTGAAGAGATTACTGAATAATATTGATTCAACAGGAAATTCCTGGGATGCCCCTAGTTGGTGCATCTCCAAAAGAGGATGATATTGGAAAACTGAATCCATTTTATATGGGCTATATTAGTTCTTGGGTGCAATCTCATTTTTTCAGCTTAATCAGATATATTGTAGAAGATAAAAAATACATCAGTTGATGCACTGATCAACTGGAGCTATAATCTCATCCCAAGATGTGAAGACTGCTTGTCAAGACCTGTTGCTGTAAAACTATATGGGCTGACATCAATTAYATTACGGTTTTTAAAACATACACTCAAATCAAAAAATAAAATAAAATATAAACCTTCTGTCCAGCTGTCTTTTCTGAAGATCTTCTTTGCCAAAGAGACACACCTGCATGGTGCGACATTCTCTCCACTCCATGCATGAGACCAACAAGGCCTGAACCTGTTGCTTGCTTCCTTCACAGCCAAACTGTATTTGCTACCATTTACATCTCTGCTCAGTATTGGGACACAAGGCACAGTTGCAGATTCAGACTCCGAAAAAGGAATGGAAAGAGTTAAAAAGGGTTATGCCAGACTGCCAGCCCAAAGGCAGAACCATCAAGCTTGACATATTGGTCATGTTCACTTCTGACAACAAGAGCTTTCCAAAGAGTCTCTTCAAACACTTCATAATCTTTAAAGTTACTTCTCATCCTCATACTCAATCCTCCTTGCTGCATTATCAGCTTCTTAATTCTTCTCCTATCTACTAGAAACAAAGAAAACAGGTTCTCCTCTCTGCAGTAACTGTACCTACTGAGCCCCCTTCTAGTCTTCCCTTCAGTAGGCCAAGATATCTCCAGCTTTTTCACCTTTTCATTGGGGTCACATTTGCTGACTGTCTGTACTGCTTTCCAACAGCTTCTCCAGATGGTCCACACATTGGTATTCCACCCATCTGCCAAACTAAAGGATTTTACTAGTTGCCATTTATTAGACCTGCCATAGAGAACAAGTCTGTCACTCCAATATATGGTAGCTGTCACCCTGCTCAAAACACTGTAAGCCAAATTTACAGTCACTAAGWGCTGCTTTCAGAGGAAGAAAGTCAATTTAGAGAAAAATGAGGAACCAAGCGCCCATCTTGCTAGATAAAATAGTCATTTCAGTTTCCTTCTTTTACATGAATAGTTGAATCAACTGTCCCACAATCTGCCTGCAACGTAAGAACGTGTTGATTATTTTATCTTGGGAAAGAAGCTCAAGAAAATTGTATTAATTTGCTAAAGTCATCAAGGAAGGCGAGGGTAGAATAAGAACATGCACGCAGTCTCCAGGGTATCTCAGGTGCTTGTTTTGGGCAAAGTTTATTAAGCTTATTCTAAGGCTTTCTGGCTTCCCTAAGTCCAGCTATTAGAACCACAAACCTGATATGCAGAAGTTCACATTCCTGCTTAAGGCCTGCAAAGTATTTACAGTATGAATCACTGTGTCTTTTCTTTTTTTTTTTTAAACATTTTTATTCTGATGTCCTCTCTTCCTCTTTTCTCCACRTATTTTACCATGTTAAATCACAATGTCCTGCTGAACACAAGACCACAGTGTCCCTTTGCAGTTCTGTGGAACACCATTCAGATGTGGCCATGTTCTAATCTGCTGAAACTCACCACCACCTTTCTGCTGCTTATTGTTCTACTTGAAGCTAAAATCCTCCCAATGTCATCCATGCTGGTCTGTACTCTGATCATTATCCATTAGTCCTCTGATTATTCATCAAAGCAGCTCCATGCTCTTGACATGGAGCTCAAGCCCTTCCCCTCACCTTCCCTGTCTGTCTTTCTGGTGGCTTGAGCTATCTCACCATGTTCCTAGTCCCAGCGAGGACTCAGCTCTGCAGCAGCACACAGGGATTCCTCCTTCCATGAGTATCTGTGTGGAGGCTGCTGAGATGGGCTCCTGGTCATGCTGTTCTCACAGCACAAGTGCAAGAGCCTTTCCAACAATGCTGTTCCCAGATGCTTCCTAGGACCCCCAGCTCTTCACTTCTCAGATTATGACAGCTCTTCCATAAAGTACCAGAGCATGAACCTTCCAGATAATAAAGCTAGAATTGCATTCAGTATTCTCACAGAAAGCCTAACACCTTGGAGACAGGCCTGTATTAGGCATGCTTGGGGATTAAGTAAGTATATCCTCTGATGAAGTCCACTTGGTGGGATCAACAGCTTATCTGATTCCGCACTGTGCCAACATAACTGGAGTCCCACAGGTGAGATAATCCGGGCAAAACCTGCTTTTGATTTGCAATGGCTGTAAGTTCAGTACGGGTTCCAATGGTCACCTCCACGTGTGAATCTGAAGGGTTCTCCTCCTCCTCTGCATTCAGAATGCACATGAGACTGCTAGAAATCACAGGCTGCCCAAGCTGCTCTGCCAGCTTGAAAATATTTCGGCTCCAGACTCTGTATTTATCTCTCCGAATCAACACAATCTCCTTACTTTACTATCAGTGCCTGACAAAACAAATTCTCAAGTCAAGCCTGACAGCTTTCATGATCCCGGCTGGCATCCCTCCCTGAGATCCATTGCCCTGTTTCATCTGTTCAAGTGTTTTGTCTATTTACGGTTAATGAGATTTGCAATTGGAGGCTCCCTTTGAGCTGAAACTTTTGCTTTCAAAAGCAGATCTCATCCGCCACCTTTGCTTCCCTTTCAGCTGTGCTCGCCACACTGCTGGCATGACCCTAATCATTATTTTCAAAAATTCCAAACACTTCATAAAGCAGCACACTCATTTTCTTGGTGATTTTTGCACTTAGAGCTCATTCTGTATCCTCTATAGACTGCACAAATTGAGTWTGTCTTATGGTGCTAATGTAGGTTCTGATTTGACTTTCGAAGTAACGTTTTGCTTCCCTCTGTGTTAAAGAGCCTTTAATCACTCATGTATTTAAGATGACRGCCATGAGCATGACCTCAGGGGCCAAAATCCCCACGCTTTAAAATAAACTTTGTACAAGTTGAAATCTGTACAAGTCCCTATGAAAACTCATGTAGTGCAATTTTGGCCTGGCTAGATACAAATTCAGCTTAAYTTGAAGTCTTTAACAAATTAAGTGGAAGCAACATAAAACTAGAATTAAATCAAACCAAAGGTTTCCACTCAGAGGTTTATACTAATTTTATACATAGAATTTAGATCTCATGTGCAGAATCAAGGCTTAAATCTTTCTTACGTTGCAGTTTAAAGCAGAGTGGCTCAAAGGAAAAAAAGATCCAAGGAAAGAAGAAAGGAGTAGAGGGAAGAAAGGATGCCCAAGACTGGAATCTACTTTCTCCTCCTGGAATACAATTTAATTTGCATTTTTTTTCTTTCCACTTCTGTGTGTTACTTTATTTACCTCCGAGTCTGTTGTGGGTGGTTGCTTAACTGCTGTTATGCCGAAATCTAAACCAAATACATCGCGAGATTTTTTTAAACCACGTTCTTCTGAGGGCAAGGAAGGAGCTTCTTCTGGGGCAGATACTCTCTCAGCCACTTCAGGATGGGACACCTGGTTACAAGATTTAAAAACAATAAYGTATAAAAGTACAGGTGGGAGGCAAGAGAGAGGGGGGACACTGACTGAGCAGGAGTCCCTCTGTGGCAGAAGATCCAAAGGTCATGCGCCAAACACTCAGGAGCAGCAAAGAAGTCTTGTTTGGAGCCCTTCCCTGTGGTTAAGAGGCTCAATAAATGAGATTTCTTATGCTTTTTTACAATGTCTGACATACACAGCTATTAAAATTCTAAGTATTAATTCCTTTTTGCCTGTTCTTGCCCTACAGAGGCTCTTTGTGATTTCAAGGAGTTTTCTTAGTGGTAGGGAAAATGGAGATTATCAGCAAAGACAGCAAAGAGGCACTATCAACCAAATACTCCCATTGTTTGGGACAGATTTCCCATTTGGTTTGATTCCAAAGCAACGCAGATCAACCGTCTTGGAGAGACAACCCCATGCCTTACATCAAAGCTGTCAGCCACATCTGGAAGACTGCAAAAATATAACTATCTTCTACAGACAACACCAGCCCTGGGTTACACATGATACCACTGCACGACGAGGGGCAAGTGGCCTGGCGCTAACCCACTGAGCTGCCCCTCCAGAGACCAGGCCCTTTTTGAGGGCCACCAAAAACATGGGTTGGACTACCACTGGTCCAAAGGCAACTCTCTCTCCGCCTTCCATCTGGCCATCTGTTCCAAGGAGGCACAAACATAATTATCTGATCTTCTGCTCATTTCCCTTCTAGACGTTCTTGGAGGATTTGGCTGCAAAAAGGCCAGGCTGTGACTTTATTAGTTATACTGTTACTGCAGGCCATGGTTATTTGTGCTCTTTCCAGTGTTTTTCTTGCATCTCCTGTTCACCTTTCCAAGTGTTTCTAACATATTTTCAGTCTCTTTCAGGGTGAAGTCCTCACACTAAGCAATATTAGGAGACAGCTAAAATTAAATCCACTCTAGCTAAGTATTTCATCGTTTGTCTTTCTCATTCTSTCAGCTTCTCATAAGACTTCTTAAACAATAAATTACTATCATGTAGGTTCTTAAAAAAAAAGCTCTGTCTGTGGTGCTGTGCCCTGTTCTKCTCTCCAGGACAAAAAGGCACTGGGAAATTCTGACTTGAGGAAAGGAAAAAATGTCTTAGAATAGGAYTAACAAAACCACTTTCACAGATACTCGGGGAGTACTAATTAGAGACCATTTCCATTCCCACCGCCTCCGCTGCTAGTGACTCCTCAAAACCTCTCATGAAACCCCCAGCACTGCCCTCCTGTTGGTGAGTCAGAACTGCTCTGGCTGCAGCACATCTGCTGAGCTCATCACAATGACACTGCCAACGTGGACTCATCACTGAACCTGGAAACAGTTTAAAACATAGGAAGTTCTCCATGAATCTCATCTCATATAAAGGAGTTTACTGAAAAGCTATTTTCATGCATTGTGGCAGAGAATAAAAAGTAGCTCATGATGAAAAAGCCTACAGAAAACATCAAATCCTGCTTAGTAGCAGAGAATCTACTAAGAAACTCTGATAAAGAGGTTATGATTCACTGGAACATTTTAAAACCTGCAAACCTTTATATACTTTTTATTTTAAACTTTACACTTGATATATCTAGGCTCAACATTCAGCCACAAGATCTTGCCTTATCTTTCACCAGTTGATTACAAAGCCTCTGCACCCCAGGTTGACTTTTCCAAACAGCAAGGAATTAATTTCCCAAACTTTCCCTTAAAAGACTGAGCTTCCCAACTGCTTCACTATGTCTTCCAGTCTTCAACCATCTCTAGATACATTCTCTGAATAACCTCCTTGATCTGTGGACATAAGACACTAAGATTTTACACTGGAAGATGTAGCTATGAGCTCATCGTCAAATATCCACAATGACTAAAGTTTTTATAAGTCATCATTTCCAAAGATACTGCAAGGAAAACTATTAAGTTTCATATTCCCTCCTTTTAGATTTATTGCTTCACATACATATCAAGATATGTATTGTTTGTCTGTGCCCGCCTTAACAAGAAATCCAAATCGTGCCTAGGGGTCTGTTCTTTTAATAAATCATGGGCAAATGCCAGGCAAGAAATCAATAGTGGGGAAAGCTGCGATTTTCTGTTTTCTTTCAAGGTCACTGACAGACTATTTAAATGGTGCAGCAATAAGGTCTGCTCCCTGAAGAACCTAAGCTGAATCATAAACTATTCCTCATTCAAGACTGTATTTCATTTCCTTCAGTTATCCACRTTTATATCTGATTCACTTGAGTTAAATTCATACTGCATTATTCCAGCTTCTTTTTGGTAAATGCTCTCCCCAAATATACTTCTTCCACTTATTCAGGTGGAGTAAGTTTTCTTTTCTCTGCAAAGATTCTGTAGAAGCATGTCATGAAAATCAAAATTTATATGGATGAAGAGTTGAGTAACAAGGCATGGTGAATAATGATTTTAAGTATATTTACTCCAACTAACCAGATTTTTATAAATCTTATCCTTTTCTTATAAATCTTATCCTTTATAAATCTTAATCTTATCCTTATAAATAGGATGTCACTGGCACAAAGATCCTAAATGTATATATTTTCTAACTACCTTCTGAAAAGGCTGCAAATCTGAATATCACTTATTCTTTATGATCACATTAAAAAAAAAAAAGCAGTTTTCTCTTTGGATTGTGAAATGCTAAACCTTATCTCTACTAGCAGAGGATGATACCCTGGGAATTAAACTCACAGCATTCACAGGTAATGAGATCTTGTAGGGGTCTCACTGCAGGAATTGAGTTTTGTTTTTATTTTCACATAACAACATGACTCTTTGGCCTGAAGATACTTTAATGGGTGTACCTGACCTCTTCATAAGGAAATCATAGGAGACCCATCCACAATAGGTTGATTAAATCCTTTTATTACTTCTCAGCTGTCCACAAACTATGTCACCATAACCCATCTGAAGAGGAATCCTGGAGCTGTGCCTCACAGGAAGCCCCAAAAGGTAACGAGCACTGTGACCATCTTATTTCTGCAGAGATAACGCAGCACCGTCTCACTGCACCGGCAGCAAGTGATGCTCGAGTGCTGCCTGTCCTCCCACAGCTACCCCTGGGCAAGACTTGCTCCAGCATCCTTCCTTCCTGGAACTAAGGAAACGCACCACGTCAACACACACGAGAGGTGAAGGTCACTTTTCTCTCTAAAGTCAACCTGTTTGCATGTTTGTTCTAATTACTGCTCTGTCAAGCAAAGCTGCAATACAGCATTTCTGAGGTATGTTCCTTAAGAAACAACTAACAGGAAATTCCCAGAACATACACCATACAATTAATCCATCCAAAGAAATCATCCATTCAAAATGCAAGACAGAGCGTCCTACTGCACATTAAAAGTGATCATCACCACTGCAGGTATAATCACAATACCTGAAGGGTTGAGATAACATGCACTCGATGTCTTCTACTTTGTTTTCTCTTAATGGGCATCATTTTGTTTATAGGTATGGATAAGAAAGACAATCTGTATGAGTTCAGAAAGTGTCTTGGAATAAGGCAATAGTAAAAATTCACTGACAATCTTGAGAGTTTTTACCAAAAGCCCCCAAGAACATCAGGAAAAGAATCCTGCAAAATGACCTACTCATCACTCCAAAATTCAAACTTCTTCAAAATGTCAGAAATCTCTCAGGCTTTGCAGTTCATTTGTCTTTCAAGAGACGTTAAAACCATGTGTTCCAGCACGGCTCCAAATCTCTCCCTGCCTTTTTGCAAAATTAAGTCTCTAGATGTCACAGCAYTGGGACAAATTTGGTAGTGCTTGGTATTGCTCCTGGTAGCGATAAGCATCGTATCATGAGCAATGAAAATTTGAGAAAGTCTCAAATATCGAACTGGAAAAGTAGCAGGCACAGAACTGCTCTTCCATTCCTGAAGATGAYTGTATCTTTAAAAAGGTCAGACTCGTGTTATATTCATTTCATGGGAAAATATATCAACTTGGTCAAATATAAAGTAGGCTTCTGTGAAATACTTTGGTCCCATGCGCTGCTGCTGTAAGAGCTGTGTGTAATGGTACTTTCCTAATCCTAATGCTGAATTAGATGCCTTTGCATACAAACTAAACTACAGTGCAGGAATCAAAGACACTTCAGTCAYGCAAATTATGGCAAAAATGAATAAATGTGCTGTTCCTCCTTATTCATGTAATATCTGTCTCTTTAAAGTATAACCTTAAGCTCTGCAGTTCTCTGGTCAGCAAACCAACTATTTCCTCTCTCTGCATCAGCTAATGCAAACTCTCTATCCCTAGTATTAAAACAGCTGAAATATTTTAACATGGCTTAAGGCAAAACCTACTAAAATCAACAAAAGTGAATGCAATCATTCTAAATTCAGGAAATATGCATTTAAATACAAGCTTAGAGAAACCTACTTTTTTTCTTTTTCGTTCTGGAAATTAAATGATCTGAAGCCATGGAAACCACATTTACCAAGCCCCTGCAAACCCTCAACCTTTCCACTCTGCAATGCCAGGTTATCCCAACAGATGCTTATCTATCAATGTGCTATGCAAAAAAGATCACACTACCACTTAATTGCTGCATTATAATRAGCAGCCCAGAAAGGGCATATTAACAATTTCTTAATCTTTATTATTGTATTTTCTCATTTTCGATGTTTTTAGTAGGCTACCGYCTTTTTCCTGCCCATGTTAAAAGCATGAGCGGTTTTCACCTTTTTTTTTAAATATACTTTATTAACTCAAATACTTTCCAAAAATAGCCATTTCTGAGCTTCCCCATTATCCCAAATTTTACAGTCATACCTTTCTTTATATGTAGCTTTTACACTTAGCTAAAAGGAAAACGCTCTTCTGCATAATTACGGAATTCAAGATTTTGCAAGAAAATAGGAATTATTGCAGTGAAAACAAACAATATCTTGCTAGTGTGGAAGTCTGCTTTAGCTATCTCACATTGAGCTTACTCCTCATTTTTGGCACATAGTGCTTGACTCAAGACTGGTAATTCAAGTGTTTTATTAGAACGGAGGAAATCTTTTTGATATGTCAACACTGACAAACTTCTAAATAATGTTGTCCACGCTATTCCAACTGCTTAACCATGAGTGGGAAGGAGCCCTTATTGCTTAAGTAAAACTCTCCACCTCTGCCCATAACATGCCCCCAGTTTGGCAGCCAGAGATGGGTCGAAAAAGAGAGCGTGTAAATGGAAAAAGGCCGAACGTTTTACCTCGCTGTCCGGGCTGGGCTGGATGACTTCCCACGTCTGCGAGTCCACATCGTAGCAGTGAAGCTCGTTGGGCAGCGTGTTATCCGCCGCACCGCCAAACACGTAGAGGTGCCGGTCAAAGGCCACCATGGTGTGGCCGTATCGCCGCTGCGGAGGAGGCGGCGAGCCGCGGAGCAAGTGCTCGGTGGGAATTCGTGTCCAGCTGAGACATGAGACATGAAGCAGAGCATTGCTTTGAGCATTCGGTTCTGCAAAGCAAATCTTCCAACTCTCTGATCACACAAACAATTAAAAAGAGGAGCAATTWAACATTTTCTACCTGAGAATGCTCTACACGGCTCCACTGACGAGTTCTGTTATGCCACCATACATATTTTAACAGCTAACTATCAAATGGCAACTGGTCTCATATTTTGAAAAGGCAGTACCTAGTTTAAGAATCTTGCACTATTTCAATCAAGAATTTGCAGCAGTTAGCTTTTGTTTCAGTTGTGCAGAAACATCCAAGAAGCAAGAAAACCAAACGATCACAAACCAGTTTTGAAAATCTGGTCTGCAGGTTGGTACTCCTCAATTAGGATGTAATTTATGATGGTCTGATCTCTGCAGCTCTGGAATTTTAAAGCCACTTTTCATCCAACCACATCCAGATTTTTACTATTATATTTCAACACTACCAAATATTTTTTTTTTATATTAAGACTGGGAGCTAAAAAACAAAACAAAACAAAAACTTACTATAAAATACTGAAATTTCTCATCTCGAAATGCATGCATGAGATACAGAATCAACCACCTCATTCTGCATCTCACCATTCGGGATTGGCCATSAAGTAGCTTTATTCTCAGGAAGTGCTAATTCCTCTAGTCTTCAGCATGAAACACTTACCAGTCCCACTAAAGACACCACCAGGAACTAAAYGGGAAAATCAGGAGCTATAGCAACGCGTTAGCTGTGCACATCAGGCATGCAATAGGAGATAGGAATAGATAAGGCACCCTTTCCCCAAGTGGGGTGATTCTAGATTAYGCCTTTATTGAAATCAGTCAGTTTATATAATTTTAAAAGATACTGATCAATCTACAGAACGATTTCAGTACAAACTAGAATTACATGGGATTTCTCAAAAATTGTTTTTACTCAAGTATGTGTTTAATGACTTCTAGTACCATTTGGCATCCAGTTTCGAACAAACTCAGATCAATCATTACTACTTAAAAGTGAATCTACACAACTTTCTGTACTCCCCTTAAAAGACAAAGAAAACACATGGCAAACTACAAAATCTCATTAAAAGATTTCTTTCTGGAAATAATCTACCATCTTTTAGACACGATATACAGTATTCTTCCTCAACACTTTTAAGTACATGCCTTTCTCAACTCGAGTAGTCAAGTAGTATGTGGATATCGCATGATTTAATTGTCCACACTTACATTTTTTCCTTGAATTCAAACTGGAAGAGATTATTGGTAATCTTTGCTCCACTCTGGCCAGAGAAAACAAACATCTTGTCTTTGCAAACAGCCACAGGGAAATTACAGCACGAAGGAGGGATTTCACCACTTTGCTCGATCTTAAAGATAACAAAAGTTCAAAGGAATGAAGTATTTTTGCATTGCAAAGYTACAAATGCTGGAATAAGCTGCAGACCATGCAATACATCACCTGAGAAAGACGGACCACATAGTAATAACGTTTCCAGACAACCAAGACCCCATAAATCTAGCTAAAGTCAATTAACTACTGCTGTGCCTACTCATCTGCACAAACTCATTTTAGCAAGGGAAAAGAAAGGACAGGAGGCCATGCTGTTAAAGCTCCTGACACTCGAAGTATCAGGACTCTGACCTCGATAGCTAGMGAGCAAAGCTAGTGAGCAAGTGGAATAAAAAAAAATAAATCCACCACTGGCAGACTAGGTCCTGCTCACAGCTTCAGAAGCAAAAATCACTCTTTCATGCACACCTCATTTTCCAAGAAGGCAAAAATCAAATTGGAATGCTGTTTCATCCCATGTGTGTGACACTGAAGAGAAAAAATCATCATTTAACATAGAAAATTTTAAATAAATACATAYGGAAACAAAGAAAAATATCTGTGTTATTTAAYCTTAAAGCTTCTTACCTCTTCCCAACACGTTAGCTCTCTGTCCTGTAGGCCAATTGTCCACATGTCGTTTAACCTTAATTATAACAAAAAATATCTGATTTGAAACTATTCAGTAGTGGTTATTTTTAGCTTAGGGAGTCRAAAGGACAGAACTTGTATTTCATCAGCACTCCCCCTTCTGCCCAGGAAGAATCTCCAATTTCTCCTAGCAGAGAAGCCATATTTTTGTCCTATACCTCAAGTTTGTACTAACACCTACCACTCCACGTAAGCCTCCTTCCTTTGTGTTAATATTGACCTCTGTACCCAGCAACTCTGCCAAAATTTAAGGATTAGAGATACTTGATCTTGGATATTTTTACAGAAACCCCCCTTATTATGCCTCTTTCTTCTATTCCTTCCTGGCAAACCTTGGTTTTGGCCACAGTAACTAATTATCTGTCTGCATCCTGACTGCTATGGAGATCGACACTGTTTCAAATACAAGTCATCTGCAGACAAATTAAAAATGCTTCTTTTATTAAGTTTGCCTGGAAGCTTCTCTTTCACAAAAACATATTTTTAGCACAATCATGGTAAAACAGACAGCTCCTCCCACCTAACCCCTCCTTGCAGCTACCCAAGGTCCTTGGGGAATTCCTTAACCTGGAACTAAGCAGCTCCAAAGAGAGCTGCATCCTTCTCAAATTTCTCTTCTAGAAACAAGAAAAAGATCCCATATGCTTTTCTGGGAGATCCACAAAAAAATCCAGTTAAATATGGCTCTCCTGGAGACTGTGAGGAGCCAGTAGCTTTTTTTCCATGAGAAGAAATGGCAACCCAGTAAACTGACTTATTCTATGCTAATTTCTATGTGTGGTGATGATGCAAAGAACGGGCAYGACTATGAGAAACTTCTCATCTTCACCGAGACAGGAAAAACAAAGAAACAAACAAGTGTATTCAGACCTGTTCCTTCCCCCAGGGACTGACAGCAAGTGTGCAAAACTTGCCAGCTGGAGCCAAGCACCAGAACTCTCCCTAACTTCTCTGCATCACTAATTTCCACTCTTTTTTCATCCAAAATCTCATCTACCTTAGAAGCCAACRGCCTTGGTGCTTCAGTGCAATACCCCACCAAGATTGTCACATRTTTTCAGAGAAAAAGACGGCATATTGTTTTCTGTTCCATCATATGACTTCATATGACTTCAAGTCATACGCTTTTTTTCTTCTAAGTGTCAGACGCTTCCCTACTTTTATCCTCTAGGTCTGCAGCAACATGAGAATCTGGTCTTTTGAGAAAAGTTTACCACCACATTCAGAGATTGCTTATCATCTTTGCAAGCAAAGAGGTTATCAATTTACGCATCCACAGACATTCTGAGCCAACAAGYTTCTTACTTTTGAAATGCACATTCATTTAAACATGAACTGGTGGACTGCAAAATCTATAACGCTCATCAACAGGTTAGCTTTACTGAGTCACAGTTAAGTGTTTAAAACACTTGGGAGAGACAAATATTCAACAGAGATGAAATGTAAGTGCCTGGGATGTTACAAAAAGCAAGGAGCAAGCGGGGAGCGATGCTGTTACCCACCGTGCGTTGCCATCGTATCCCGCAAAGATCCACAGCTTGTCGCTGTACACGGTCGCGCCGTGAGCCGACCTCGCAACCGGCAGCCTGCAATTGAGGAGGTTTACAAGTTAAACAGACAAGTAGCTGAGCTGGTCTGCAAAGGTGCTATGAGAAGGATCTGCATGATAGCCAAAATACACGTTGGATAAGAATAAAAGCTCGTTTCAAAGGCTTAAAATATGTAATAAATGGCTTTCTGCTTTGCAGTCCTATCCCTGCATTCACCCGTTACAAGTGAGAGCTTTCGGAGAAACACAGCTTACCGTTATGCACCAAAGCCAGGCCACGTTCYCAAACACAAGCCCTCAAACAGAAATTTGCAGATTGAAATACAAATCATCTTAGGATAAAACTAAACCGAAGCTATAAGGATCAATAACGTTTCTGCTATCCTTGAGAAAGAAACAATTTAAAATAAATCATTTCTTTTGCTCCTCTGCCTTGTCACAGAAACAAAAGGTGTAGAACCTGTGGTCACTCCAGAATGGAGGGCTTGCAGAAAAAACTTTTCAGAACAAAAAAGGTAGTTTCTGCAACTTGGATGAGGAAAGCATAGCATCCCACTGACCTACAGTTTTTATTCTAMTTGTGTAACTATCTGTACCTCCATGATACCGTTACTCTTTGATGGTTAAAACCCAGGTCTCTTTGAAGACTGGGGCAACAATACCAGCTCCTTACCTGCCTTCAGTCTTCCACTCTGTCCACTGTCCAGTTGCAAATTTATATTCAAAGAGATCATTCTTATTCTTCAAGTTGGAATTGGAGTAGATGTCTCCAGTGTAGCCACCTGGGCAATGACACTTTTATTAGACTGTTTCAACAGAGCACATATATTTGCAGTCAATATATGAGAAAAAAGATAGTTTAGATCACTCAAGCAGAAGCCATTCGACTCCAGGAATGCTGAGGCTCGTCCYCAACCTTGCTTCTACTGCTGTGGCAGCGAGCTGCAAATCTTTAGACAAACGAGCAGAACGATTTCAAAGCTAACGTTGAAATCGCAACCAGCCATGGCAAACCGAGTAAGCCGAGTGCGATCCTTTGGCACTTCATGGGAACCGTCTCCCCGGTTTGGAAGGGACGGGCGCACGGCTCGTGGCAAGCGCAGCGCGCCGCACCGCGCCGCCGTCTTACCGAACACGAACATGCTGCTCCCGTGCACCACGGCGGAGTGGTGGTAGCGCGGCGCGGGCGGCGTGCCGGTGGTGAAGGCCCTGCCGAGAGCGAGGGGAGCGGCGCTCAGGCCCCGGCCGGCCGCCCGCCTTCAGGCCGCCCGCCGAGCGCCCGCGAGGGCTCCCGACTGCATCGCCACGRGGCGCCGGGCAGCGGGCGGGAGCGCGGCCCACCTGCACCACGAGCAGTCCTTCACGTCGAAGCGCAGCAGGTCGTTGAGCATCGTCTTCCTGCGGGACGGACGGAGAGGGAGCGTTGGCCGAGCGCGCTGCGGCCCGGCGCGCTCCCTCCGCGGCGCCGCCGCCCGCCGCCTTACCCGTTGTCGCCGCCGAACACGTAGATGGCGTCCCGGTAGGCCACCACGGTGTGCTTGCTGCGCCTGCGGGCGAGAGCGGCCGTGAGCGCGGGCGGGCCCCCCTGCCCTCGCCGCCCCTCGCCGCCGCCCCGCCGCTCACCGGGCCCCCACGAACTCGTCGCAGGGCGGGAGGCGGCGCCAGCGGTGCACGGTCTCGAAGGGCCCGAAGTTGAGGGTGAGGTACTCGACGCTGTCCGAGCAGCTGTGATCGAAGTCCACGCTCGGCGCCACCTTGGAGCGGCCCGCGCCGCCCGACGGCGCCCCGGCCGCCGCCATGGCTGCGCCAGCCCCGCCGCCGCGGGACTACAGCTCCCGGCGTGCCCCGCGGCTACGGCTCCCGGCGCGGCCCCTTTCCCAGCGGCGAGACTACAGCTCCCGGCGTGCCCCGCTCGGGGGGCGGGGGAGAGGGAAGAGCCTGCCAAGGCAGCACGTAGCGGCGCCGCGGTGCGGAAGTTCACGCGTTCGAGACCCGCCGCCGCCGGCACTTGCAGGCCTGGCTAGAGAGACATTTTAACGTCGCCCAAGCTCCAGGCGGCCCCCAGCACTGGGGGGATCAAGCACAGCTCCTTGGCTTCCCAGAGGGGCTCCTGCTTGGGGCAGCGGCRGCCTGAAGCACTCAAACCAGCTCTGTGCATAGCAAGAGGCCAACCCCAAAGCCTCTGCTGCACCCGGGCTCAACCCCCACACTCTTCCCTCCATCCCCAGCCCTGTGAAAGGCAGAGGCGAGACACGTTTGTACAGTAAAGGATTTTATTAATACAAAAACAAACAAACACACTCAGGACGATGCGTGAAGTCTCGTCCCAGGGTCACAGCTGGCCTAATCACTATTCAAATTCCATGCTGTGGCTCTTGGTGCAACTCCACCAAGGCCAAACCCAGCGTGAGGAAATGCAGCTGGTGTCTCCTCAAAGCGGAGCTCACACGGGAGACGTGGACACGCCAGGCACAGGTTCTGTAGCAGTAAAGGCTTATGGATGCTCTGGAGTTGCSTTGACCCCAACTTTCAAGTATTAAAAGGGAGTTCATGTTTGATAACACAGAGTTAGGAACTTCTAACAATGATTAGTCGAGTTTCTTCTCAACAGTGAGACMGCCTTCCCCTCCTGACAACCAGACCTTTGCCCGTCAGCGTCAGATTTCACCATATTTCATCTCCAGCCCTTACCTCATGCTCCTGGCTCCCCTTTCCCAGGAGAAGCTCAAGGCAGTGAATTTCTTGCCTGTAAACAGYCCACATATCGCAGGTTTGCCGGTGGCAGAGCACCCGTTGCAGAAAAATGAGGCTGTTCCTGTCCCCCTTGCCCCACAACGTGCCTATAGGTCAAGGACCACCTCATTCATCAGCACACAGCAGCAATGTCACCCCGCTCTGCTGGCAGGGGCCCTGTGGGTGCACGCAAATCAACGTGGCAAGAAGGACAGCGCAGGGCACTAGCTCCCCAAAGCCACCGTCTTCCCCCCAGTCCTTCCCATCTCATGTCACCACTCCCAGGAAGAGCGWGCACTTGATACGTGCAAACCACAGAGCAGCTTCCAACCACCACAAGGAGGCACTTCCAGAGGAACTCAACAAGACACTGCTTATCACTTACTCATGGCATTTTGCTATTCCAAAGAAACCCTTAGCTACAGCTTGGGATGAGGAATGCAGCAGCAGTGCTAAGCTGCACTCGCATTTCTCATGTTTTTGCTTGAACTTGTCATCCAACTTGATAGCCCTTAAGGATGAATAAAGCAAGCACAATTAAGATACACAAGTCAACTTCCACCTGGAGGCACGTGAAGCCCCCTGYCCCTCTCCACAAAGCCCAGACCAGCAAGACTTGCACATGGTCCCACCCTTACTGATGCCCGAAACACACCCAGGTGCTTTTAAAGGTTGTGTTTGCTTAAATCAAATAACAAACACTTGTTTTCAAGTCCTGCAGTCAGTTAATAGGGCAAATATTTGATACGTCCTTTTAATTCTGTAGCTTGCAATAACTACTTAGATTTGGTTTTCACTCTTCAGTTCTACTGGCTCACAACTAGGCCCATTCTGACACTCCATGGAGGAGCATCACCTAGCTAAGAGGGTCCTGTCGCTTCCCTTGTCGGGACTGGTCACTCTTGAGGACGTTCGGTCGATCCTTTGTACAGTTATCAGCACTGCAGCCATCTATTTTTCATCGTCCTCATGAGACTGCACTGCTTAGTTTAACTTGTCAGTCCATTTCAGCCAAAACCATGAGACATTTATTTCAAACAAAATTCCTAGAAGACGTGCAGGAATTAAGAAAGACGAGCAAGGAGACAGAGCCACAGCAGAGCACACAGGAAAGGGAAGGCCAGGGCACCAAATTTAATTATATAGTTTTATACACTAGAGGTTCCACAGGGAAGAAAGAGAGACTCAACTGCATGGAAACTTTCCATCAGTCCTCATACCTCTTTAGACACAGGCTAATCCAGACAAAGCCACAAGAAAATAAAATCAGGCTTCATAAATTCTACTTTCCATGGAGTTATTCCTAGAAAACTATTGGGAAAGTAAGGATAGGAGAGAGAAGTCTATGGGCATGTAGTGAGACATGTGATCCCCTCTATTCCTGCCTACTCTCAGGCACAAAATGAAGGGTTGTGGGGTGACAGGGGATGCAATGTCAGTTTTATGACTTAGCAATATTTTCTCATTATCCCATTATGCTAGACCAATTGTGCCATCTTTGCTAAAAACTTAACCTGTCACCCGCTTCTGTTTAAAAAAAAAAAAAAAAAAAGTGAAAAGCCATATGCAAACTTAGACCAGTAAGATGCATAAATACTCCAGCTTTTTAGAAGCTTTTAGATACAATGTCAAAGCATTTTATTCCACAAAGGAACAGCAAGCACCTTTCTGAAGAAAGGAAACTCTATAATGGGTCACCCTTTTTCTTTGAAGCAGAAGATGATGTAACCATTACAGGACTCCCTTTCTCTCCAAATGACTCCTGTGAAATACCCTAACAACCTCCAGATGAAGGAGATTTCCTTAAGAAGTGATTTCAGGAAACAAGGATGATTTCCTTTCAAATCTGTTTGATAAGAAGGATACCAGTGTATATTTTAATAGTTTTATTTTMATTTTCCCCAAGGGGGAACCCAAGGCAGAGAGGTGTCGTGAGATACATCACACTGTTCTTAGGGGTAAATCAATTTTTAAGTGTTATTTTACCACTCTATAAAAATACATATGGGAGTGTGAAGGAAGCAAAGTAGATCAGAGTGGCTGTTATGGAGCAAACACATTAAATATAATTATTTTCCCCCCTAAAAAAACCTGTGGCTCCCTGTGTTCCATAAAACCAAAGTCTTTAGTAGCCACAGGTCACAGGAACCAGAGCTAAGGGGCAGCTTCCTTTCAGCATGTGCACACAAAAGCGTTAGTAACGAACTGCTCCCATGGGACTAGAGAGTAGATGTGAGCAACAAAGCTCCATCCACAGGAGGAAAGAAGATATGCATTTATTTTTATTGTCTCAGCTTCCCAACCATACCCCTGTAAACAGGTTCCATGTCATTCAGGCATCTCTGACAAGAGAGTCTATAGTTCTATAAAAAGAAGTCAAACTGTAAGATCCAGATATTTACCCTGTATGTGTTATGTGAGCGCAAAGAGGAACAACCTTCCAATTTCTCAAGATACATCCAAGCAATGTGATAGTGGCCCGATTCCTTTCTCTGTCCATCTGTGCTGTGTGAAACTCAGTAAGTGCCTCCTCCCAGGCAGAGACAGTGTGCTCTTAAAAATATTTAAGGACACATTTTGTTTAAGAACTCCTGGAACATGACTGTGTAAAATGAAAGTGCTCCCATGGTGAGACCAACGTGCAAAGCTCAACAGACTTCTGTCTTTGCTGCTTTCTTAGTACTCCTTCCCTTTGCAGATTCATGATACGACGAGGCTCAGTACTTGCCAAGGAGGCCCCTCATCCACCTGTAACAGGCAGGTGGACACTGAAAAAAAGTGTTTCATGTTTAATCATAAAACGTGGAATAAGCCAGAAAAATATTGTTCGGATATGATCTGTATGGTCTCGTGATTGGGTTTATATACCAATGGCCTGCAACACTCGCTTCTCGTTCTCATTGAGATGGTCTGAAAACATCGCATAGCACGGCTGCTGTGCAAACTGACACAAGAAGTCAGTGAGATAGGCCTGAAAGGAAGACAAAAAGACCAAGTTAGCATCACCTCACATCTTTCTGTTCCTCTTATGTGTCAAGAGATAAAACTATCACACACCCCAAGTAAAACATAGGGATTACAGGAAGGGAGGCAGAGGAAGAGAGGAAGCAAAGGCTCATAAACAGCTTGCAGGTGGTGATAAAAAGCAGGAGGAAAGCATTGCCCGGGCACTGTGACTGCACAGGAGCCTCTCTACATGGTGTATTAAGTTCTGGAACGTTCAGTCTCCACCAGCTTTTGATCTCAAAGAGCTGAGAAGCTCAGGGGTAGAAGAGGCTCAACCCCTCTGTCCATAAAGCGTTGTTGATTCATGTCTCCAAATTATAGATATTGCCGCAATAAGAAGCAATGCCTCAAGATATTCTTTGGATACTCAGAGCTCTTTCCAAAGCAATTTCCATGAACTGAGTACATTCAGGCTAGCAATTGTTATTTGCTATCAGCAGGGCTTTGCAGTTTTAAGTACAACATAAGAAAACAAACTTTATAGAAAACAACAGAGATCAGATTCAAGGAAAAAAATCATTCTAGAGCATCACCTGGAGATCTATTTGGTAAAGAGGGTCTTTTAATGCATCTGGATCATCCTCTTCATCATCTTCATAGTAATCCTCATCTGTCAGAGATGAATCGTTAGGTTTTAACACTGAACAGAGCAAAATATTTCCAGAAGCTATCGCKAAGCTTAGACTATCGCTAAGATCTAAGGCTCTGCAAGGGGTTTCATTAGTGCTGCATGTACTCCTGTATCCAGAATACATTCCCTCATGTTTACAGGGTTAGTAAAAACCCAGAAGAGACACAGTGCGAGTCTCAAGGAATGCAAAGATGAGACCTGCCATACAGGAGATGCCAGAGCAGTTTGTTGCTCGTTACATGCACCATTATCTTACCCTGTAATCTTACCCTCCATTTGCATTTCTGTGCTGCTGCTGCAGTAAACAAGTCTCCTTTATCCTATTTCCCTGGGGGGTTCTCTAAGGTTACAGGCAGCCTGGGGAGCTGAGGGAGGTATTGCATCCA